TAAATGAATGAATGAATGAATGAATAAATAAATCTATTTCATCTGAAAATTTATGAGAGGGAGGGATCTAGTTGGGATGCTCAATCTATAAGCAATTATGAGGATGTGAGTTCAATAAAAATTAGCAAGAATTTTCATTTTCTTCTGTATATTGATGATCTAACAATCAATTCAGCTACATCTAAAATATACTATAATGAGATGTTTCCGGAGTGCTTTTCAGTTTACAAATCAACTTTACATTGATTTTCACAGTGATATAAGAATAATCAGAGTCACCATTTAGTTGGTGCATATTAGTTTGGTCATTCTAGATTATTCAATCCATTCTGGTACATTGAACATTTATTTTGGTTGGTCAGTGTCTGTGCTATGCCAATTATTAAATATTTTTGAACATGACCCCTGAAATAAGAAATATAGGAAAGCCTAAAATTTTGCCTAACACTTTACAGTTTCATAAACACTTCCCCTTATTTCTCACCTGATGCCCACATTCCTACTGTGTTTTCCTTCAGAGCAAATACTCTAGCAGAACCACCTACTTGTAGTTCTTTGCATACAACTTGTGCCAACTCATCCTTCCATATCTTGGCAGTGTTTCCTTCACACAACAATAGCTTTCCGTGGGAAGGGGGACGGGAAGGGACAGTCAGATGCTCAGCACTTTCTTCTACCTGAAGGACGGTGGGGCACTCATCTTGCCCTTGGAAGTACTGTAATGGCCAGCAAGGCTGTGGCTGGAGCTCTCGCCAGCAGGGTTCCAAGATTCTGGACATCGCATTATTCCTGTTATAGGAGGTTCTGCTTGCTATTTTGGATAATTTCATGTCCATCACTAAAGCAAAAACTCATGCTTTTCATTCCAAATCCCCCATGTCAGTATTTACCTAAAAATATTACTCTCTCTTAGCCAAGCCTACTTCTCTATAAGAAGAGGGAAGGAGAACTCTTTTTTCTAATGTAAGTACAGGTAGACAACAATGGGAAGATCTTTGTATATCACATCAAAGTCCATTAGCCAACTGTCCCTCCCTATCTAGAACACATAAAGAATTAAAAAAATCAGGCCCCCAAAATTCAAAGACCCAATACAAAAATGGGCATCTGAGGTGAATGCACACTTCTCAGATGAAGAAATACAAATGGCAAATAAATATATGAAAAAATGTTTAACATCATTGGTCATTTGAGAAATTCAAATTAAAACAACACTGAGATTCCATCTCATCCCAGAAAGAATGGCTATCATCAAGAAATCAAACAATAACAAATGCTAGAGAGGCTGTGGGGAAGAAGGAACTCTTTTCCACTGCTGGTGTGAGTGTAGATTGGTGAAACTACTGTGGAAATCAGTGTGGAGTTTCCTCACAAAACTAGGATTAGAAGTCCCATTTAACCCAGCTATTCCCCTTCTGAGTATTTTCCCAGAAGAATTAAAAACATCATACCATGGTGATAGAACCATTAAAGAGAATAAAAATAACTTTAAAAAACATTATGTGCACCCATGTTTATAGCAGCACAATTTGTCATAGCTAAATCTTGGAAACAATCCAAATGTCCATCAACTGAGGAATGGATAAAAAAGATGTAGTATTTTTATATAATGGAGTGTTACTCAGCTATAAAAAAAGATAAACTTGAGGCTTTTATGGGTAAATGTATACAACTAGAGACCATAGTCATAAGTGAAATACATCAGACCCACATGTTTGTAAACATCGTATTGTCTCCCTGGTGTAAGAACCTGAAAGAGTAAATAAAATCCAAAATATACAATAGACATTATGAAAGGGAAAGAAATTGCTCAAAAGAAGGAACAAATGGGGAGGGAAAGGAGAAAAAGAAAGAAAGAAGGGAAAAAATATATATGGATAACTGGAATAATCATACTGCTGATATCTATTGGTTTATTGAAAGGAACAGTTAATGCTTAATTTTTTTTACCAAGTTTACATGCTTATGTCTAGTAATCTGAACTAATTTGAAGACAACAATATACAGTAAAACAACCATTGTTGAATTTTTACCATCTTGTTTAGTGAAGCTCTGTATCATTTCTAATTTTTTAAAATTATTTTTTATTCTCTTTAGTTGTTTGATCAGTCTTGCATTCTTGCATCTGGTAATCTGAGCAACTTTGTTGAAGATAACAATATGTAATGTAGCAGCCACTGTTAATTCCTATCATTTTGTTTTGAAACTCTGTATCATTTTTATTGTTTTTGCTTTGTTTTGTTTCTATGTTGTTTTTATTTTGTTATTTTTTATTCTCTTTGAAATTAAAAAAAGAAGAAAAAGACAAAGTCCATTTGTACTAGTTATAGCACTTTTTCTGAGCTTACAAAATATTTCCCTAAGCTCTTTTATTTATTTTTACTCTTTTCTCCTGTACTGTGATACCACTGAGCTCTACCTCAGCCCATATTTATTCTCTTAAATTTCTAATCTTTAATGTTTAAGCAATGTATCATTTTTAGCCTCATTTCTTTATTAACCACTTATTTATGAAGAGACTCCTTTCATAAGATTCCTTCTCTTACAGAGGCAAAATAATCGTATTTGTTTGTGAAAATTCTTTCTCTTCTGTCCCTAAATAGACTCCATTAATTCGTATTGGGATCTCAGTGTGGTGGTGCTGAGTGTCGTTCTAGCTCCTTAGGAGACTGAGATAGAGTCTTGAGTTTAAGACCAGCCTGGGCAACATAGCAAGATCAGATCTTGAAGTAAGAACAAAAAACCTTACTCATGTCGTGCAAAAAAAATTAACTGGAAATTTTTAAATTCAAAGGAAGTATTGCTCCTTTATGTAACAAAAGTCAAGAACATTATGGTCTCCATTATCTGTGTTAAATTCAGAGGACATTGATACTAATTGGCAAATGACAAATTATTCCAGTTCTTTCTGTTTTAAAATTTGTACGGTAGTTATGCTACTTACGTTTCAATAATGCTAATATAAAATTAGATGCCATTTTCTGACTTACTCACCGACTTACATGGAGAAAATGCAAGTCAAATAGGTAGAAGAAGAGAGCAGATATTTCTTGGGTCACCTGCCTATCATAATTGAAAGTAATTCATTAAAGCTACAGATTTTGAGACAGTAGTATCTCTTTTTATCTCATAAGCACCAAAACAATAGACCCTTGCTTTGATGCTTCCATATCTTGGCAGTGTGTTTCCTTCAAATGACAATAGCTTTCCACGGGAAGGGGTAGGGCAGATAGGCATTTGCTCAATACCTTGGTCAACCCAGAAGGTAGTGGGGCAGTCATCTTGCCCCTTTCTTCCCAGAGGGGGAAAGTATTAAATAATTTTAGTAACTTGTCATATTTTCCCACTGACTCGTTCTAATTTAAAGATATAATCAATCTCTCTCTCCTTCTCGTTCTTTCTTCTTTCTGTCTGTCTGGCTTTCTATCTTTCTTAGTTTGTGTGGTAGTGGGCGTTGAACCTAGGGCCTTCACACTTAACTGCATCCCCAGCCCTTTTTATCTTATTTTATTTTTTTTATTTTGAGACAGTGTCTTGCTAAGCTGCCCAGGCTGGGATCAAACTCACAGTCCTCCGGCTCCGGCTTCAGCCTCCCATAGTGCTGAGGTATAGGAGTATGCCACCATGCCTAGTTTATAATTGCATTTTTAGGGCTGGGGATTTAGCTCAGCGGCATAGTGCTTGCCTGGCAAGTGCAAGGTTGTGAGTTCGATTCCCGATACCAGAAAAAAGAAAAAAAAAAAAAAAAGAAGGTATAATTGCATTTTTAATTGATCCCAAACTGAGAGTGACACTTAACCATTCCCTTACTATGGATATTTTTTTATACCTATAAAGCAATGGATGAAAATCAATGCCTCTGTTATTTTATTTTATTATTATTTTATATAAAGAGCAGGAGCTAGGTTGTATGTCAAGGAGTTAAGGCTCCCACTTCAAAATGTTGCTTCTTCCTTCCCTAAATTTGTTACCTGGTCACTTCAATCTTTTAGTGTTTGAAATTTCAAGCTTCATTAGTGTTCACTAACTAGGCACTTTAAGGAAAGGACTAATTTGAATAAGTGAAAGTGTTGAATGCTCTAATATAAAAATACAGAGTTCTATCCCTTTATGGTACAATATGCAATTCCAGCAGTTGATAGTGAAGTGTTTAGAAAACAGCTATGGTTAGGACCCTGCAATGCCAAGAGTTTTCTTTAAACTTTAGGCAAATGAGTGTTGCTAAGTTGTGTGAATATGCTCAGTTAATATTCACTGAGCAGCTATTATATGCTTGGCATTGTGCCAGAAAAATTCTGTCCTCAAGTTAACAATTCAGTTTCAATTGTCATTCACTTTGCCTAGTGACATTTTATCTCATGTTTCATTCAGCACTTCTCTAAATGTACTCATTTATTCAAAAGGCACTCAACAGTTATAATGGGTCACAGGCACACATTCAAAACGACTAGGGTCCTGGGGTGAAAGGCATTTACTGTGTGGACCAACACCAATCAGTCACTTAATCAAGCAATCAATCAGCCAGTCTTTTGTCTGGCTAATAAAGTGAGTTCAAGGATTCTCAACGTTGGCATTGTTGACCTTTTAGGCTGGATAATCTGCTGTTAGGCAGATAGCGCTTCTGTTTATTATAGATATTTAGCAGCCCCGCTGTAGCCACCGCCCACTTCCAGTTCTGATAATCAAGAACATCTCTAGACATTGCCAAAGGTCACCAGGAGGGAAGAGATTGTCCTGATTGAGGATCAGCGAACTAACGTGTGTATCATGCCTTCTTTACTAGACTATAAAGACTCTGAGGAGAGACTCAGTCTGATTCATTGTTCTACCACCCCTCCTCCACCAACTAAATTTAGTTTTTGACACAGAAATTCTTCTTGGTGAATGTTCAGAAAAGAGGCAAACTATCTATGGAGTTCCTCTATTGTCATTAGCTCTGCACAAGGCACCTGGTAAACCCAGAAGATACATAAGGTAACTGGGCTGCATTGTCTCCACAGGTTTTTATAACTGGAATAATCATGTACTGTAGATCCACTTCGGTGTGAAACGGCTGCATCTGCATAAGGTTTTCCCGTGGTGGAAGCATGCCCCATAGAATGCTGTTACAGATGCAACGGGAATCATTTTGGCCACTGCTGTCTGTAATGTAAGCTCCCACGTCCTAGAAACACATTCTGAGGCAGAAGTGGGAGGTATTTTGATTTCAGTAGCATTGCCTTTGTTTGTTAAAAGGAACACTTAAGAGGGGTTTAACCATATTAAATGTAATTTCAGATTTTTTTCTTGTCATGTTAAAAGTAGAGCATCTAAGACTGTCCAGTGATCTAAGTAATTCTGGTTTACTTAGATTCCTGGAAATTGCCAGAGGGTTTAAATGGAGGAGGGGAAAAAAGAGTGAGGAAATTTTCCCTGTGGGCAATTGGGGAAAACAAAAATATTTTTGTGCTGTGGCGACTTCTCAGGAAAGAAGGGCTGGCCAGCAGCGGCCTCATCTGCGCAAAGGGAATTTCCACATTTGGGAAAACATGGTCATAATTAATGACTTAGGGAAGCCAAGAAAATGGACCATGTTGGAAAAATATGATCTTCAGTGGCCGAGTCATTGTCAACTGATTGGGCCAGAAAATTGGATTGTTTTAGAAAGATATTTTATATGTAGATATTTGCCTGTAGATCCTTCTTTCTGTGGTTCTAGTAGGTATCCTGCCCCTCCCTGGGGAATTGGCTTCTCTCCCTGTTTCTCCCTACAGTATGGAGTGTTTGCTTTAGTTTTCTGGCCTACGCACTGGCCTGTAGCCTTTTGCTTTGAATATGATGTTTAGATCTTGCTACAGGGCTATTAGTATCAGTTAGAATAGAGATGATTATCCAGGAACTCAGGACAGGGTGGGAGGATGAACTTGCCGATTTTAACACAGCCATTGTTTGATTTTTTTGGTTTTTTTTGGGGGGTGGGGTTCCTTTTTGAGACTGTGCAGTTCAGGCTGGCCTTGAGCTCACTTTGTAGCCCAGGCTGGTCTCAAACTCGCAACAATCCTCCTGCCTCAGCCTCCCGAGGATTACAGGCATACACCACCACACCTGGCTAACACAGTCATTGTTAATTGAGGACGCCATGTGCTAGACCCTTAAGGTAAGAATATCAACAAACTGTCCTCATTGAGACCTGAAGAAACTGAGGCTCGGGGAATTTGAGTCACTTGCACAGAGCTATGCAGATTTTTAACTACCAGCTGTATTTCTCTCCTCATCCTGATTGGAAGATCTGCTCCCTAAATCAAAATGTTATCACTCTATCAACAACTTTCTTGCTTCTTTGACTGTTGTCTTCCTCTTCCTCTTCCTCAGACCACTGTTTAAACTAGATCTGCTCTTGAACTGATCTTTTCAGAGCACTCCGCAGTTACCTCTCTTTTTCAAGGCAAGCCTAACGTTGCAGGCTGGGAGCCCCTCAAATCTTGGTTAACCTAAGCAGTGATTGTGTGCTCAGCTCATTCTTGATCGGCTTTTTGGCCTTCTTGCATTTCCTTTATCAATTTTATTAAACCAGGTGAAAACTCCTCTTTTGCCTCTTTTCTCCCATGATTTTCTCAAAATAGCTTGCCAAATATCAACGTTCTCTAAAATGAAGGTGAAGAATTTCAGACAGAGAATCATAGCTAAGAACGAACAAATTCCTACTGTGTGACATGGAGATGCCTTATCCAGATGCCATCCATGTGTATGCTGTATCCAGTACAGCATCAATAAAACCCAGTGGATTGTTTTCTGAACTGAACAAGCTGCAGGTTAAATCATGTTCCCCTGAAGTGACAATTCCACATTCTAAACCCACATGCCACCTTCTAAAGTTCACTCTGTCCTCCAACTGCAGTCAACCCACAAAACAAACATAACTAGGATTGAAGAGTGTAATTGTCCTGTTGAACCCCAATGAATATTGTAATAATATAAAAATCATGGCATCTGAAAATAATTCAAAACACTTCTATTGAACCTAAAACATGTGCCTTAGTTACTTCACTTATTGCTGAGACAAAATGCCCAATGCCCAAAGTCAGTTTGATGTGAAGTCTCCTGGGATCATCCCCATCACCACCATATGAGAGGTAGGGGGAGGACGGGGACAGGGAGAGGGGAAGGGAGATGGGGAGGGAAAGGGAAAGGGAGAGGGAGAGAAAGAAAGGAAGGAAGGAAGGAAGGAAGGAAGGAAGGAAGAAAGAAAGAAAGAAAGAAAGAAAGAAAAAGAAAGAAAGAAAGAAAGAAAGAAAGAAAGAAAGAAAGAAAGAAAGAAAAAGAAAGTCAGTCATGTACCGTGAATCAGTCACACACTCTAGATTCAACCACCTCTGAAAAAGCTCCACCTGTGACTGCATGAGGCCTTGGGGGAGCATCTAGACACAGCCATAACATGTTAATTAAATTTTATTAATACTTGTTTTTGAAGTGTTTCTTGGCCATAGCCAGATACTGTTACCTTCATTTCAAGATATGAAAAGTGAAGAGATGTATTCGTTTCCTACTGCTATGGAAACTAGAATCACCACAAATTTGGGGGATGAGAACAACATCCTGTTTACTCTGTAGTTTCTGTAGTTCTGTTAGTTAGAAGTCCAGGTAGGCTTGGCTGTATTCTCCCCTTAGGGTCCTGTAAAGCAGAAATCAGGATATTAAATATCCCAGACTCTCAATTGAAAGCCATGGATGTTGGCGTATTCCTTGTCATGAGGTTTTCTCCATTTTCACAGCCAGTGAACATTCTGGAATGTGTCTCACCTCTGCAATCTCTGCAGCTTCCTCTTCTGTGACCAGCTGAGGAAAACTGTTCTTTTAAAGAAGTCATTGTGTTGGACCAGGTCCACCTAGGTAACCTCCAAATGTTAAAGTAAACTCACTTAGAACTTAAATCCCTGCATAGCACTACCTAATTTAGCATTTGACTAAATAATGAGGAGATGGACATTCGGGGCAACCATCATTACGGTTTTTTTTGTATCTTTTTTCTTTTTTTTAGTTTTTCTCCGGTACCGGGAACTGAACTCACGACCTTGCGCTTGCCAGGCAGGCGCTTTGCCGCTGAGCTAAATCCCCAGCCCCGTTTTTTATCTTTTTGAGACAGGGTCTTACTATGCAGTTGAGGCTGGCCTTGAGCTCACTTTGTAGCCTAAGCTGGTCTTGAACTCACAACGATCCTCCTGCCTCAGCTTCCCTAGTGCTAGGATTACAGGCATGTGCCACCACACCTGGTGAGTCTTTAGAGTTCTGTCTGCCGTGAGGAAACAGTCAACCAGTTAACTCCAGATATAGTCTGGAAACAGGCTACCAACTGTACTGAATCAAAGAGTTTCATTTTTAGATGTTATTCTTTGTCCTGTTTTGAAATGTATACACATGGCTTTCTTTCTTTCCTTCTTTCTTTCTTTCTGTGATACGGGGGATAGAGCACAAAAGACTTCACACTAGGCTATATCTCCAGACCATTTTATATTTTTATTTTGAGACAGGGTCTCACTAAATTACTAAGTTGCCCAAACTGTGCTTGCATTTATTGATCTTCCTGCCTCAGCCTCCTGGAGCTCTGGGAATACAGATCTGTGCCACCAATGTCAGGCGGCATGCCTGCTTTATGTTTAATATGCATGTCTTGGGAGTGAGCACACCTACCTTTTCCTACTGGTGCATGATTAAAAGTGTTTCCAAGGTTGGTTTTTTTGACATGCTGTACTTTAGGGCCTCTGAGAAATAACATCTAGAATTATAGGTCAATGTGGTGCATATGGTGGGGAAGGTGGGAAGCTAATATTTTGGTGAATACAGAGGAACAGTTTATTCCTATTTTTAGATAGTGACTAAAGGGTTTTGAAGATTGGAATCATTTTCTTATTCTCTTATTTTCTTAAAATTTGATTAATTGATTGATGTATTAGAGATTGAGTCGGGGGTGCTCTACTGAACTATATCTGAACTATATCTCCAGCCCTTTTTACTTTTTATTTTGAGACAAAGTCTTATTAAATCGCCTAGGCTAGACTCAGACTTGCAATTGTTCTGCCTCAGATTCCCAAGTAGCTAAAATGTATAGGCATGTACCACCCTGTCCAGCTTTTTCGTTATTTTTCTATGGGCAATTCCAGAAGTTAAAAAAATCGAGGGGCTCTGTGCGTGTATTATTCGTGCGGAGTATTTGGGAACGCTGTCTCTAGACATGGGCAGTTTGGGGCGGTGAGGTAAGCATCGCCAGGATGCTGTGCCTGCGGCTGGGGTCTGAACTCCCTAAACTCCTTACTGTACAGTTTCAGCAGGCCAGAGCCTGAAGTCTGCAATGCAAGTGCGTTCCTAGGCTCAGCTGCTTGCAAAGCCTGAGCCTGAAGAAAGTCACCTTGGCATTGGAAAGACTAGAAAAGGCTGACTCTCTCGCTCTCTCTCTCAAAATAAAAAATAAAAAAGGAATTGGGATGTAGCTCAGTATGAAGACTTTGGATTCAACCCCCAGTACAAAAAGAAAGAAAGAAAGAAAGAAAGAAAGAAAGAAAGAAAGAAAGAAAGAAAAGCAAGAAAGCAAGAAAGAAAGAAAGAGGAGGAGGGGAGGTGAGGGGAGGGGAAAAAGAAAACACACACACACACAAACCTAATATGTTAACTTCTTCTCTTTATGATTTTACTCTGATGACAGCCTAATGAAAAACTCTAGTATTTTGATGAAAAGTGTAGAAATGGTTTTGACTTTTGGAAAGGATACATATAGAAATACAAGAACCTTTAAAAAAAGGCAGAACATTTTAGAGGCTAAATATTCTCTCTTCTTTCAAGAACAGTTGGGTTTTCCCCTTTCATAAAATTCTTGCCAAAAAATGGGAAGGGTAGGACATTCCTCAAGTGTTTCTTTCAAAGTCTCCCAGCCATTCAGAAAATGGTGAGAAAATGCAATCATATTATTAGGTCAAGAGCAAGATGCCCATGAAGAAGGCATTTAATAAAGAGCAATATGGTTCGGAGTGCATGAGGTGTGTTTGGCTTTGGGAATTTGGACACGGGAGGAAAGAAGTAGAGGGGAAGCAGTTAATGTTGCTTATTGGCTGTGATGTCTTAGCGCAAAACACACTTTTTATTTTTTAAATAACCAATTTTGTTCTATAAAGTATAATT